GGATGGAGGGATGGATGGGAGGGATGAGGGGAGGTTTGATGGATGGAGGGGTTGGATGGATGGATGGATGGAGGGGAGTTGGATGGAGGGGATGGAAAGGATAGGATGATGGATGGTTTGGAGGGGTGGAGGGAAGGGGGATGGATGGGGGGAAGGGGAAGGATGGATGGATGATGGATGGGGGATGGAGGGATGGTTGGAGGGAAATTGGAGGGAAGGGGTTTGGTTTGGAAATGGGAGGGGAAAAATGGAGGGAAATGGATTTGGAGGGGTTTGGGATGGATGGATGGATGGATGGGGAAAATGATGGATGGATGGGGAGGGAAAGGATGGATGGATGGATGGAATGGATGGGGGAAAGGATAAATGGAAGGGATGGGTTGGTTTGGATAAAAAAGGATGGGGGGTTTTGGGGGGTTTTGGAGGGAAAAATGAGGGAAATGGATTGGGATGGTTTGGATGGAATAAAGGGGAGGAGGAATGGGAGGGATGAGGGAAAGAGGGAAATAAAGTGGAAGATGGAGGGGAGGGTTTGGGAAAAGGGTTTGGTGGATGGAGGGAAAAATTTTTGGAAAGGGATGAGGGAAAGGATGGGGGTGGATGGTAGGATGGTGGATTTTGGAGGGGATGGATGGATGGTTTGTAGAGGGATGGATGAGGGTTTGATGGATGGATATGGATGGATGGATGGGGGAAAGGAGGGATGGAGGGATGGATTGGGAAGGAGGGGATGGAATATGGATGGGTTTGGGGATGGAGGGGGATGAGGGGTTTGTGTATGGATGGAGGGGAAAAAATGGTGGATGGATGGTTTGGTTTGGAGGGATGGGAAAGGGATGGATGGAGGGGGTTTTTGGGGATGGAGGGATGGATTGGATGGGATGGATGGTTTGGTTGATGGATGGATGGATGGTGGGTTTGGGATGATGGTTTGATGGAGGGAAAAGGAAAATTTGGATGGAGGGAGGGAAAGGAAAGGAATAAAGGATAGGGATTGGGGGGAAGGGATGGGTTGGATGGTTTTGTGGATTGTATTAGTGAGGAGGAGTTTTAATAATGAGGATTTGAGGAAATTGGAGGGGTAAGGTGGGGTTGGGATATTGAAGGAGGGATAAGGGTAGGATAAAGAGGTTTGGTGATGGATATGGTGTTTGAGGATTGGATGGAAGGGTTTAGGGAGGGAGGGTTTAATTTGGGGGTTTGAGGGAGGGTTGGATATGTTTAATTTTTAATTTTAGGGATGGGGTTTTAAGGGATTTTATGGTTTGGATTATATCATATAGGATAGTGATTTTGGATGGTTTGAGGGTTTTTGGTATGGAAGGGGATTTTTCATTTTGGATTTTTAATTGGGAGGGAATGATTTTGGGTTTTTAGGGATTAGGATGGGGGATGGAGGATTTTATGTGGTTTAGTTTTAAAATAATTAGGGAATTTTGTTATGTTTTATATTTTTTATTTTTGGTTTATTTTGGTTTCAGGATATGGGGGAATCCATGTCATTCCCTTTCATTCATGCATCAATTAATTCTGACATTACTTTAATCATTAAGAATTCAATTTTCAGGCAGGGATCATTTTTCAGCATTCATTCAGGCATTTTTAATTTTTCACTCATGTTCAAACTCCCAAACATTCGGGTTTCGGGCAGTTTTTTCTTTAGAGTTTAAATCAGTAAAGGTTTTTATGGCTTTCTTTCCCCCTTTGGCTTCTTTTTCCTTCTTAACATTCTTAAAGGTTCTTTCCCTTAATTCATTAATTCATCTTTTTAATTCTTAATTGGTTTAAGATTCATTCAGTGCAGGAATCATTCACTTTAGCATTCTTTCCCAATTGGTGTTTTAAACAAATTCGGCATTATGCTTTAAGGGTTCTTTCTAAAAAGGCTTGGCAGTAAAATTATTCACCCTTAGAAGGCTTAATTAATTTAAAAGGGTAATTAATATTCTCAGGGATTTAAACCAAAATGATTGGAATTTCTTGAATGGGATTAGGGCTAGTTCTTTCATTCATTTTTCTTGTAATTCATTCGTTCATTTTTAAATTCATTAGGCTTGCAGGGTTTTAAAAAAGGGTTTATTGCATTTGGCAAATTATTGGGGGCCAAGGGCAAAATGTTTTCTTTTCCATTAATCACCTTTTCTTTGCATTATGTCATCTATTTAGGGAAATTTCCCCATCTTTCCTTTCCCCAAAACCCAAAATTGTTTTTGTTCTTTCCCATCATTCATTCATTCATTTTCATCATTCTTTAAATTCAATAAATCATTCATTCATTCAGTATTTCATTCTTTCCCCATTTTTTTCTTCTCATTCTTTCAATTCATTACCATTCATTCATTCAGTACATTCATTCATTTTCATCATTCATCTTTTCAGTCAACCATTTCAGTCATTCACCCTTTTCATTCATTAAAATTTTCTTTCACATTCTTTTTCTTCATTCATTCATTCAATTCATTCTTTAATTCTTTTATGGGTTCATTCATTCATTCATTCTTTCATTAAATCTTTTCTTTTGGCTTTTTTCTTTCATTCTTCATCTTTTCAGTTTTTCATCATTCATCATTCATTCTTTCTTTTCCCATTCTTTTCCCATTAATTTTTCATTCTTTCATTTCATTCTTTTCATTCATCATTCTTGTAAATTCATTAAATTTTCATTAAATTCTTTCTTTTCATTCATTCATCATTCATTCTTTCCCAATTCATCATTCATTCATTCATTCATTAAATTCATTAAATTCTTTCCTTTAATTTTTAAAGTCTTTAAATTCATTCATTCATTTCATTCATCATTAAATCATTTAAATTCATCATTAAATTCCCATTCCCCCTCATAAATTTCATTCTTTTCTTTTCATTCAAAACACTACATCCTTTTCACATTCATCATTCATTCTTAAACTTTCTTTCCCCATTTTCATTCATTAAGGGGGCATTCAGTCATTAAAATACCGCTCCCGCCCCATTTAAAAATTTAATTTCCCCGCCAAAAACCCGGTGGAAAAATTCTAACCCACAACAACCCAAAATTACCGACCCCCCCTTTAAGAATCAAAATTTGTTAAAACCCGACCCCCAACCCCTCCTACTTTTCCAAAGAAAAACCCAAAAGCCCAAAACCCCCTTCCCCGGGACCGATCCCCCCGCTGACAGCACCGCCAACCACAGATAGGGTTTTTTTAAAAAGGAAAGGGGAAATTTGGGATGGCTTCAACCCCCAAAAACCCTAAAACCCCTTAGGAAAAAGAAACTAACAAAAAATTTTTAACCTAAAATTGGAAAAATAGTGTTTTTCCCCCTTTTATATTGACCCTTTTTTTTTTTTGTTTTTAAAAAGGAGGAGCCAAAAAGATCTGGAAAGGGGTTGGGGGAACAGAACCTGAGCCCAGAAACATTGCAATTACTTTCTTCTTTTAAAACAAACCAAAATTTTCTTTTTTCAGCCTTTCAAAAGGCAAAAATCAGAAATAAAGAAAGAAAACCCGGATTAAAATTGCTGCAGGGGGCAGTTTTGGATATAAAACAATTTCTGGGCGGGCGTGTGCTAAAACGGGGCAGCCGGCCCACCTTTCTGCTGCCTTTTGGCCAGCCGTCCGCTGGGGCAAAAAGCTTTTCCCCAAATTTTGTTTTTGACCCTGGGCCTGGTAAAAGGCCGACTAAAGTCGACGGGGGAAGGTCAAACCCCGAGAAACACAACGCCCAGCTTTAAATCTGAAAGGGCCCTCTACAGACGTTTACGGGTTTAAAACCTGCGGGTTTTGGACCCAGGAAGAAGCTCCTCTCAGGCAAGCCCGGGCTCGGCGTTTCGGGAGATGCCCGTCTGCTGCGGGGTCAGACCCCGGCAGAGTTTTTGTCAGGAAAAACATAAAGCTGAATAAAAAAGTAAACCAGCTGCTGCATCAGAGTGAAGCCAGAAATCCATTTAGAGCAAAACTGAAGAAACCCCCCCCCAGAATTTACAGATAAAAAGGTTAAATACATTTTAAAATCAGCTAAAGAAAAACCCAAAATAAATACAAAGATCAGCTTGAAGGTGTTTTTAATTTAAGGATAAGGTTTACTAAAGTTTCCTCCTGGGCAAGCATGTGGCGACAGTGAAAAGTAAAAACTTCCTTTTAAAGGAAAAGTCCGTTCAGCAAGGAACAATTAATGGATCATTATTTATACCTAAAACTAATAAAAATAATAATTTTCGTCACGATCACTGAGTCTGGGAGCGGCCATTTTTGCCCAAATATAGTAGCCCCTCCCTCCTGCCATCTTCCAGCAGTGACGTCACGGTGCGGTAAGCCTAGCGCCATTCTCCCCGCTTTCCAAGCTAAATCAATGGGAACTACTAGACACATCTGCAATCAACAACAATTATTGAAGATTTCCAGAGGACTTCACCATTGAAATTCACCAGAGCTATAGTGAAACTGACAATGCCCACGTGCATGGCAGCTGGATGCTGGAATACATCGGGTAAAAGTGGAAAAAAGAGTTATTCCACCTTTCTGATTCCTGATCCTCCACGGACGGGTTGGTCGTTGGATCGCCAACTTGAAGAGGGAGGATTTGCCATCGAACTTCTGGCCAGAGAAAAAACCCGTAATATGTAGCCAACATTTGGAAGAAGAATGTTTTCAAGATGACTTGGATAATAGCGCGTTGTGACAAACAGCAGATACAGCACTGGGACTTGATCAACAGCCGATACCGCACCGTGACGTCACTAACCAGTAGGCGGCAGTAGTGTTCTTTGACAAACATGGATGCCTCCAGTAAAGCACATTCAAGTTAAATTACTCTGAATTAAAAACACTGATCATTTATTGAACAGAAGTTTGAATTCTAAATATCACCAAACTTTTCCTTTAATAGGAAGAAGAGCTGGAAAAACCTGCTGGACTGAATAAACTGATTACATTGTAGATCCTGTCTGTGGATCAGATATCAGGCTTTAGGTTTTTTCACACATTGACCTGTATCTCCCCCTCCCCCTCCTCCCCCAGGACCCAGCCTACGCCTCCTTCGTCTACGATAAGCTCCGCCGCCTGCAGTGGCCTCACAGAGGCCGCCATGCTTCCTCCGACTCGCACTGTAATGTCTGTGGCGCCCCCTACCAGCAGCTGAGGCGTCTGGCTCTGCGTCGGGCTCTGGGCGCCAGCAGAGAGATGACCCCTCGCCCGGCCACACCCAACGCCGCCCCACTCACCGCTACAACCCCCCCATCAGAGGCCCCCTGGGAGGTCGACAGGCTACCGGTGAAGCAGCAGAGATGGATGCATGAGGAGGAGCCACCGCTCCATGGGGGAGGAGCTCCATGGGGCTGGGGCGGCGTACGCAGCACCTACCTGGGAGGGGGCGGAGCCAAGGGGCTCGCCACGGTCACACCCCTGAACGCCCATAACTACCTGGAGGGTGTGTGGAGGGTGTCTTGCTACAGACCGGAAGTTCAGCAGACTACGGTGAGCACTGAGGGACAAAATTATCTCCTTACGGTCAGTTTGATTGTTAATAATCAATAACTAATAGTTAGATGATCAGTGACTTTTTACTTCAGTTTTTTCTGAGATAAAGTCACTTATGGACGCTAGTTTGATCCAGAATAATTTCCTTAGTTTCTTATTCAGTAGTCAAAGTCAAAAAGTCAAAAAGCCTTTATTGTCATTATATTCTGCAACGGATACGATGAGATTTTGGGACTTCCATATCAGCTACCGTAAAATAAATAAAAAATAAAAAAATGAAAAAAAAAATATATATATATATATAAATATATTAAATCCACATCAGGAAAAACAGATCTGGATTTTTCTTTGAACAGATCTGAGTTTTTTGCAAAGTAAATCAAAGATTAGAGCACTTTGACTATATTTAAACAGCAGCCAGGCAACCCAAATCCAGTGTCGGCTGGCCAATAGAGGGCGCCAAGGCTCCCTCCCCAGAACCAATGACCCTGATTAAGACATAAAATAATAATAAAAGAATAATTTTTTTATTATTTCATTTTAAATTGAAATGTATAATATTTCAAAATATATATATATATATAGTTTTTACATGTGCAAGATTAATATTTAATCTTTAATGAAGAGTAAAGCGTCATTCCATTTTTTGTCAGATTGGTGACGTATTTCCGCCATAGGGCGCAAAAATCTTTGCCCATTGACTTTCATTAAAAGTTGTAAATGAGCAGCAGCTCCTCTGCAACACCAGTGTTGCCAACTCAACGACTTTGTCGCTATATTTAGCGACTTTTCAGACCCCTGCAGCGACTCTTTTTCAAAACAGCGACTAGCGACAAATCTAGCGACTTTCTTGGTGTCTGCCGTGGGGCGCCTCCAGCGTCCCAACCCCGTTGTCCCGCTTCCGCAGGAGTCCCTCTTAGCGCTGCAGTCAGAGCCACAGCATGTTTACCCTCAGCGTCCAGACTGCAAATGAACCTCTCGCATGTGCAGGGATTGACAGCGCAGGTTGATCACGCTGAAGTCAGCTCCCTCAGTTGCTGAACCTGCCATAGAGAACACTTGACCAACACGACGAGGATCCACTCAAGCACAGCCTGCGTGTGTGGAGGGAAATCTTATTAGTTTGAAAAGAAATTAACAATAATTACCATTATTTGCTCACATTGTCATTGATTATTTGTAGCCTTTATTTGTTCCATTTAGATTGTTAAGTGTTGTTGTTCAAAATGTTAATGTTTTACCACGATTTTTAAGCTCCTTAGTGGACCACAAGGGGAAGGGGAAAAGAAAAAGTAAAAAAAAAAGTTGAAAAAATATATATATATTATGCAAATTAGACAATGACGTCATTCAGCGACTTCCAGCGACTTACAGCACAGCCAATAGCTACTTTCCTCACAGAGGAGTTAGGGTTAGGGTTAGAATAATTGTCTTGATGCCAAAAAGAGCCCAACAGGTTTTACTTTCACAAGTGGAGCGGTGCGGCTATCGCCACAGTGTTCGGCTTGATTTATGCATATAAATTGCTTTATTATAATTTATGCAGGGAGTTTTATAGATTATATGGACACTGCAATGTAAATAGAACGAGAAAGGAAAAATAGGAAAAATAAGGAGAATAGATGAAAGAAAGAGAAGATAAAATGGAGATTATGATAAAACGTCTTCAGTCTGCTTCATCACCTGCAAAGAGATGGAAAAAGAACAGCACAACCAATGGATATGGTATAAGAGATATAATAAAGTAACACCTTGTTACTATCGTTGAAGTATTAAGGAGATGATTCAGTATTAACAGGCAGAGAGCGACTCTCCTGACCTCTGTATCTAGAAAAACGTACATTCAGCTGAAGTGAAAGTTTAATTTTTATTATTTATATCTGTATCTCTGCTTCTGTCTCCTTGAACCCCAGTCGGCCTCAGCAGATGGCCGCTCACACTGAGACTAATCAGTCTTTTTGTTGCACATCTATGCTTTTCTAGCATCCGTCAGCTGACTTAGGAGAAACATCAACGGGTTCTGTTCCTCTGAGGATAAATCAGCTCTCTGTGGCCCCAAAATCACAATTAACTCATCGTTAGAATTAAATGAGTTGTCAGGTCAATTTATCCCCCCCCCATCCTGCAGTTATAGATGCTGAGCAGCAGCCATGAGGAACAGAGATCAATGACTCCTTGTTACTGATGGAAATGGTCTCTAAAGGTTCACCATCAGAGTGATGAGGTCACCTGCAGGCGTCGCTTCCCATCAAGCTGATCACACTGATGGGATCTCACAACGTTTGCTGATTGTTGGGTTTCTGGAACCTGCAGCAGGAGCTCCGCCGTTCATAGCGTTACTCCAGTCGGATTATTCATGTCACCTGCTGGTCTGTTTCAGATCGATGTGAAAAAAAAATAATGCAATTACAGGGAGACTGTCATGAAACGGGACAGATGGACCAAGTATTCAAGGTGAGACAGACAGTGGGAAAGTGCAAAACGTTTATGAAAACAAAACATAACAGAGGCAACACCCAATCACTGACACTCTGGAGGGGAAACACAGGTAAGTGACCACGATCATCAGACAGGAGATGATTATCCATGTGAGTCACTTACCTGGTTTAACAGTTTAAGAGTCCTTCCTTTCCAAGGAAGGCAGGATCCAGCCGAAGGACAGCCAAACGAGCTGCGGCTCAAGGAGCTGCCCAGAGTGTCCCCGACACAGTAACCTCAGTGAGCTGGCAGGAATCCGATCCAGGTCAGGGAAAAGAGATCAGACAGGAACATTTCTGGAATCCAGGTGTCCGAAGCCCGGTCAGGGGTTCCGATCCACATAGAAACAGACAAATCCAGGGTTCCAGGAATCCACAGAGCGTGAAGGCGGGTTCAAAGTTCCATGCATCGAGCAAAAACTCAGACAAAAACATACAGATGCAGACAGGCAGGCTCAGCAGTTGAGGGACGGAGACAAGACATGGTACCAGCATAACTGCAGAACTTTAAACTGGTCTCCATGTACTGTGGGAGCCAGGACACGATCAGGAGACAAGTTTAGATCTGGGAACGGGGACACAAACCTTTGAACAAACATCCAACAAGCACTGATCTTTAAAACAATGAATCACCGAAAAAAATCTGAATTTTCCATTACAAAACATTAAGTTAAGTTTAACATGGAGGTGAATTTCTATGAAAATATCTGTTTCTTATATCAACTCTTTTAGAATAGATGCAAAACAATCCCTCAGCACTATGTAACCACCGCTGTGCTTAACAGTTGGTTAAGGTTCAAAGTTTTAAAAAATGCCATGAGGAATACGGGAACTGTTTTAAACTGACTTTGAGCTTCTGGGATGCTTCTGGGCCCAAAACAATCTCAGATATTTTCTGTTTCATTATCATTAGACAGTTTGGATCTCACAGTTATTTTTTTTTTCCTTGTGTCATCCTGTTCCTCTCAGTTATCATTCAAGTTAATGTAAACATAGGGATAGCAAGGTGGGCTTATGTTAGCGTAGCGATAGCAAGGTGGATAAATGTTAGCATAGTGGTATCAAGGTGGGCTAATTTTCACATTATGATAGCAAGGTGGGCTTATGTTAGCATAGTGATAGCAAGGTGGGTGAATGTTAGCATAGTGGTAGCAAGGTGGGCTAATTTTCACATTATGATAGCAAGGTGGGCTTATGTTAGCGTAGTGATTGCAACGTGGGTTAATGTTAGCATAGTGATAGCAAGGTGAGTTAATGCTAGTATAGTGATAGCAAGGCGGGTTAATGTTAGCATCGTGATAGCAAGGTGGGTTAATGCTAGTATAGTGATAGCAAGGCGGGTTAATGTTAGCATAGTGATAGCAAGATGGGCTTATGTTAGCGTAGCGATAGCAAGGTGGGTAAATGTTAGCATAGTGGTAGCAAGGTGGGCTAATTTTCACATTATGATAGCAAGGTGGGCTTATTTTAGCATAGTCATAGCAAGGTGGGTTAATGTTAGCATAGTGATAGCAAGGCGGGTAAATGTTAGCATCGTGATAGCAAGGTGGGTTAATGCTAGTATAGTGATAGCAAGGCGGGTTAATGTTAGCATAGTGATAGAAAAACGGGCTTATGTTAGCATAGCGATAGCAAGGTGGGTAAATGTTAGCATAGTGGTAGCAAAGTGGGCTAATTTTCACATTATGATAGCAAGGTCGGCTTATGTTAGCATAGTGATAGCAAGGTGGGTGAATGTTAGCATAGTGGTAGCAAGGTGGGCTAATTTTCACATTATGATAGCAAGGTGGGCTTATGTTAGCGTAGTGATTGCAACGTGGGTTAATGTTAGCATAGTGATAGCAAGGTGAGTTAATGCTAGTATAGTGATAGCAAGGCGGGTTAATGTTAGCATCGTGATAGCAAGGTGGGTTAATGCTAGTATAGTGATAGCAAGGCGGGTTAATGTTAGCATAGTGATAGCAAGATGGGCTTATGTTAGCGTAGCGATAGCAAGGTGGGTAAATGTTAGCATAGTGGTAGCAAGGTGGGCTAATTTTCACATTATGATAGCAAGGTGGGCTTATGTTAGCGTAGTGATAGCAAGGTGGGTTAATGTTAGCATAGTGATAGCAAGGCGGGTAAATGTTAGCATCGTGATAGCAAGGTGGGTTAATGCTAGTATAGTGATAGCAAGGCGGGTTAATGTTAGCATAGTGATAGAAAAACGGGCTTATGTTAGCATAGCGATAGCAAGGTGGGTAAATGTTAGCATAGTGGTAGCAAGGTGGGCTAATTTTCACATTATGATAGCAAGGTGGGCTTATGTTAGCATAGTCATAGCAAGGTGGGTTAATGTTAGCATAGTGATAGCAAGGCGGGTAAATGTTAGCATCGTGATAGCAAGGTGGGTTAATGCTAGTATAGGGATAGCAAGGCGGGTTAATGTTAGCATAGTGATAGAAAAACGGGCTTATGTTAGCATAGCGATAGCAAGGTGGGTAAATGTTAGCATAGTGGTAGCAAAGTGGGCTAATTTTC